TCCTGCTTCCTTTGGTTGCAACAGTTTTTAAACAGACTTTGCAACGAGGACTTGTTTGGTCTGTGTCCGACAGCGCAAAACCGAACCATTGCCATGTTGTTTGTGAATCCGCTACAGTATTTGGGTGCGCCGCGCTAATTTACCCATGAACAACGGTGTGTCGCATTAGTTCCACTTTTGGCGCTCGCGTGTAATATAAGTAATAAAAACACATCGTCCTGAACTGTAAATTCAAATTAATCGATAATATCGTTTTATCGGCCACCTCTACAAGAAAGTACTTTATCTATGTTTACACGCTATCAGCTTCAAAATAGTCCCCTTGTACAGCAATACATCTGTCGGTGTGTCACAAAACTAGCCTTGAAACTTTTTGATACCACCTCGTATTGTAATGCTCTTGTTAGGTTCATACATAATTTGGGATTATTAGTTGCCTGCGTAAATCTGTGTGTATATTCTTTTTATCAGGATGAGCTGGATGACACTGCACAGGTTTGGAATGCACACACCATCAGGCCATCCAAAAACATGAATGTCCCCAGCGGTCGGCCTAATGTGATGTATGCTATGCCTGAACTGTACAGGACAAGAGATTTCCTAAACCAGGGTGAAGATGACCATGTTCAACTGTGCAAAAATGAATGTGTCTTTCGGTCAACCATACCCTGCGATTCAGATATAAATGAATTATGCAATATTACTATGGCAGAGTCCCACCTGTATCTACCAAATGATCCATATCAAGCTGTATACTTGTCCGTTGGCAGTCTGCTCCCAAAGTCTCAAAAAGTATCCTTTGTTTTTTGGTTCTTGGTTGCATTTGGAAATGAAGATGCTGCAGTAAATAAAAACAAAACCTGTTAGTACTAATTTAAATTAATGGTAGTGAGAAAAACATATTCTACATTTACTATTAAAGGTTGTGCATAACATACATATGGGTGAAACACCAAAAGCTTAGTAAGGATAAAAAACCATATTTATTGTGAAATAAATGGAACATTAAATGGATCTAACCACACACGAATAACATAGTCCTGAAAAATAATTTCATCTTAGAGAAGAGATTGCACATGCAAAAAGTTGTTGAGAAGCCCTGGAGTGATTGCTGGCACAAAATGCAACTGTTTGTACAAAGTACATGTGGATTAAGTTATTACCTAAAGTTGATTCCATCTCTACCCATGTTTCTCCATCATCATCATTACTTTATTTATTATAAACGCTTCTAATATCAAAAACCTGTTCACTGCTTCCACTGTCAGATGTATGTCTGTGCTCCACTGGATCTGTGATCAAATGTTCTGCACCAGTTTGACTCAACTGTGGATCCACTTCCTCTGTTGTACTGACAGATGAATCCTTAGATAAGAAATCTTCACTGTATTCAGTCGCTACAGATGATGACTCATCTGTTGAAGGTGCTTCTTCTTTTGTGCAAATGTAAAATCTAAGCATTTTCAGTTTGGTTTTTCATAAAGTCTGCCAACAGTGTCATCCATAGTAATCTGGTTTTAAAACGAGATATCCATGTAATTCTACATCCTCAGCAAGATGGGTTACCCCATGAACATTGTAACTAACAAATTCAGCACCATACAATTCACTGAAATGTGTTACAAGAGACACAAGTAGTGTGTGTGCAAAGTCATGAAGAGCTACAGACAATGAAGGACTTGCAAGAATGAAAATGGCAACAGATAACAACATGAAGTTGTTATAAACTGAAGTTGACAACACATTGCGGAGAAACACTTGTCCGGTATACAGTAAGAAATGTGGCAGCTCTGTGGCCTTCCACCTCGGCCTTTCTGAAAGCCCCCTTGGTTTACGAGCAAAATCAATGGGAATGAAATATCTTGAGCCTATGAGTTCACTAGAGATTTGATCCGTTTGATGAGACGACAAGGGCCCTGATGTAAACCACAAATCCAACAGTTTTCGCACTACCCCAAGACAGACAAGATGCATATATTCATGCCACAAATACACCATAAAGAACGATACTATGATTAGTTAAGGGGACCGGATCATGATCACTGATTATTCTACTCCTACTCATATCCTGAGAAGCTTGATAAATACTGTCCCTGAACTGGAACAGACTGAGAAGTCCAACAGAACATCCAACACATCCCTAAAGATACTCTCAGGCTGTGTGGCTTCGTGCTTTTCCTCATAGCCATGTCACAGGCTGCCCTGATGCTAACATCACCGCTCAGCCTGTCTTTGTATGATACTGGGGAAAAATAAGCGACAGCAAGTCTATGGAGCTCTAATAGCTAGCAATAAGAAATCAGAAATTTGCAGTTTTCTATCAGCTAAAATGAACTTTTCGGTGTTAGCTTGCTAGTGACGTATTGAATTATCCCCGTTCAGGATATTAACGTTAGCTAACATTATAAAATCCATATTTTTCTTAATGCTTCATCCTACTAACCTTAGCTAACATAAGCAGATACATACACTTGTAGTTGCTTTTGTATGAGGAAGCGTATAGCTTAAACCCCTTATCCATTTTGGTGGCAGGAGTTTTAGATGTCAACCTGCATCTGCGATAGACACTGGTTACACCCATGTTTGGAAGCTCATGAAAGCATCTCAAGTAAAACAGCGCTATATTCAACTTAGCTCGTACAGCCGACCTGAACTGGAAGCAACGTGACCTGTTTTACAGAATAAGGAAGTCTGTTGTGCCTAAACCCCATACCAGTTATACTAGACTAGACCAGTGGTTCCCAAACAGGGGGGGGGGCGCCCCCTACAGGGGGCACAGAGGTATTGCAGAGGGGCACACCAATGGGATAGCCTACGCTCAACTTAAGCACCGCTAGCAAAAACATGGATAAGTTTGTGGATTCAGCCAAGTCTCCAGCAGAGGCCGACTCTTCATCAGCTGCAGGTTCAAGCTCCAAAGCAAAGAAGAGAGAACATGATGAGTCATATCTGGGCCTTGGTTCCACAGCGACGATGGTGGGTAACGAGGAGAGACCACAGTGTGTTGTGTGTCTGAAAATATTTGCTGCTGACAGTCTGAAGCCGAACAAATTAAGATGTAATTTGGAGACAACACACCCTAAGCATAAAGATAAGCCAGTTGATTTCTTTAAAGGAAAACTCACAAACCGCTGTGCACAACAAAGCATCATTACTGAAGCTGTATCTTTGCATAAAAACGCTCAACTGGCATCATATAAAGTTCCCTACCAAGTTGCTCATTGTCAAAAACCGCACACAATAGCTGAGGAATTAATACTTCCCTCCACTATCGATATGGTTGCAAC